ATTTTTCGTTTCAGACTTCATTATTTACTAACATTTGATAGTGTATTTGATATTTGTTGAAAATTTGAAGATCAAAATCACTTACGAGATAACTGATATTCAATATTTGTTAATTAGAGCATACTAGAGGAAAAATTTTGTCCAAGTATCTAGGCATAATTTATGCTAGTTTGGATGTGGGTTGTTCAAGGTGTCACTAGAGACTCCAAAAGTATTCTTAGGTAAAGCATGTGTATTCACTAATGATTCATAGAATATTTCGTTTCAGACTCCATTATTACTAAAGTTTTGATAGTATATTTGACATTTGTTGAAAATTTGATATTTCTATGTTTATATTTTGCATATAGTATTGTGTTTAATATATATTTGAAAGCTCTTTGAACGTATGTGGCAATATTATTATGATGGTAATATGATTTTCAGGGTTAAATTGCAAGAATTGTGAAATGGAGTCTGAAGCACAGGTGACATCGGAAGTTAGTGTGGAGTTCAAACCAAAACTAGGAATTGAATTTGATTCCCTTAAGGATGCGTTGAAGCTGTATAATCTGTATGCACTAAAAGCAGGATAATATTCACTGAGAAACTCTTTTGTATCATGGCATCATTGTGTATCATGCTTGTTGCATATTTCAGGCTGTCAATGGGAATTATGTATCATTATGGTTATCGTTATGCACCTACAACACATATTCAACATCACTGTATCAAAACATTGTTTAGAAGATTGGATTTTCCGAAGAGCAAAGAAGAAGGCGGAGAAGATGAGGAGTTGGAGAGATTTGTGTGGGGTTTTAGGGATATATGTGGCACATGCCCCACCCTAAAAAAAAGGGGATTATGAATTTTATGAAAACAAATATAATCATAATCATATTACACGTGGCACAACAAGAGATTAAAATCAAATCATATCAGTGTTTGTGACATAATATGTATATTAAAATTCCAAAACTTGATAAACTGTTGATAATCTTTGGAGTCATTTATGACACTTTACATTTTTACTAAGGAGAATCTAGGGAGAAAATTAAGTAAAATTACATTTATGACACTCTACACTTTCCAAAACATGATTATCTTCAAATAAATACGCGAAAATCTAGGGAGAAAATTTACGGTGTTTTTTAAAATCATTTTTTTGTGAATTTTGTCAGTTAAACAAAAAAAAACATATGATGACATGTGGCGCTGCAAGAGGAAGAAAATTGAAACTTTGATAAACTATTTGAATTTTTTTATGTGTAAAAATTATATTTTAAAGCTTAAAAGATAAAGAAAATGTCATAATGAGTTTGTGAGAATTTATGGTGATTGTGATTTTTGGAACTTAAAGCATTGTAAAATAGTAATAAATGGAAGAGAATGACACATGGTAGCCCCAGATTGATGTATTATCAGAGTTTTCGACAGCTGTCAGTATCGCGTAGCGCCATGTGTCATCAGATGTTCATCTTTGTATCTTAAACTTAAAAGATTCACAAAAATGAATTAAAAAATATTTAAAATGCAGTGAAGATTTCCAGAAAATCCCTTGCAACATTATCTTCAACTATGAGCTGTGAAAACAAAATTTTGACTTTGGGAAATTTGAAGTAATAATTAGAGGAAGAGTTGTTGTAAAGTAGTGATCAATACTTTGTAAACCACTTTTTGGACTTGGGATACGAAGTATTGATGTTGAGAAATATGTATGTAATTTTTTTTTGGTATTTTTTTCATTTATTTTAATATTTGAAACGATTTTACAACAAAATATGATTAAAATATAACAAACATAACACATGTCAGCACAAGGAGAGCCTAGCATCCCATCCACTTCTATGTGTCGGCAAGGTAAACCGCCACCTGGCATCTCATCCAATTAACTATTTCTTTTTACCTCAAAATTGATTTAAAAATCGTTTATAATTCAAAAAATTCCCAAAAAATAATGTCGGGATTGGTATGACATTTTCTTCGAGCACGTACGTCAAATTTCGCCAGTGCATTCAAATTTTGATCTGATCCTTATGTGATCAAACAAACAATAGCTTAGGGTTTACAAAATGTAGTTATGTTTTTATTTGCATCATTCACATTTAGGGATGACCCCCAAATTTTAATTTTAAAACAATTGTAAACCACTTTTTGGACTTGGGATACAAGTATTGGTGCTGAGAAATACGTATGTATATTTTTTGTATTTTTTTCATTTATTTCTATATTTTACAACAATTTTACAATAAAAATATGATTAAAACATAACAAATATGATGGATTAGGGTTTATGGGTTTAGGGTTAGGGTTTGGGGTTTAGGGTTTAGGGTTAGGGTTAGGGTTTATGGGTAAAGAGTATTATGGAAAGCGTTTTCATATGACAAACTTTTCATGCTATATATATGTGTGTGTTTTTATGCTATCAAAACATAATAACTTGGGATGGGTATTAAATAATATTCTGCATGTGTCATCTTCAAAAACCAAGTTAATGGTAATACTTCTAACCAAAATATAACAAATGTGACACATGTCAGCACAAGGAGAGCTCAAATGTAACAAATATAACAAATGTAACAAATACGTGCACCATCACCGATGACAAGTTTCCCTTTTGAGGGAACGTGTGGTCCTATGTTGTATTCTTATTGTGTTTATGTTTTGTATTTAAATTTATTTTATTTTCTTTCCCCATCCCCAGTCTTCTATGGATATAGTCGAGATATAGTCTTCATTTTGGGTAATGTCGACTTCTTCAGCCAACACTAAGCCAAAGAGGTGTGCTGAGATGGTTATGTTCATTTCCAAATTTGAAAGGAATCTGGGCAGACCATATTGGAAGTGCTTCACCACATATGTAAGTGTATGGTCTCCAAATAAATTTTCTTCCCAAACTAAAAAATGTAATGTATTATGTTGTATTCTAGTTATTTTTAGGGAGCTACTAAGTGCAGTGGATATGAATGAGTGAATACAGCCAACATGCCAAATGAATCTCACCTTCAACAACCTATCGCTTTGCCTTAAAAAAAAATTCATTTCTATAATGTAATACGATGCCCAAAAATGGAGACACCCAAAGCGGATGGAGACATTCATTCCATGCTACGTTGGGAATTCACACCTAATAAAGCAATAGTTGGGAATCACGCTCTCACAAGGTGTACATATTCATAGGGAAAATTTTTATAATTTTATAATAAAATGTGTTCCATATTAAACAATGTTACCTAGAAACCCGATGACAACCAAATTTTTGCTGGAACTTGTGTTCCACACAATAGTATTGATATAGTTGAGATAAGTACACCAGCCATTTCACTTCATATACGAAGTATTCCTCTTGACAAATACGTACGAATTTGTATACTCCTTGTTTTGATTCATTATAAAAAAAAATTCAATTAATCGGAAAACCTTATCCTCATATCCAGCTCCACAGGTCAGCAAGGAGGCCGCCACCTGTCATCATCATAACATATAACAAATGCATCATAAAAGATACCAAATGCATCATAATAGATACCAAATGGATCTTAACAGATACCAAATGTATCATAACACTTAGAAAATGGATCATAACAGATAGCAAATGCATCATAGTAGATATAAAATGCATCCTAACATATACCAAATAACCCAAATGATACATGCCCAAAAACGATAATGAAAAAGGAATGGAAGAAGAAGAAAATCGTACTAGGGTCAACTAGATTATACCTGCTAATATAAGATGCAATGAGTATCACAGTCAAAGAACGAGCTTTAGAGCTCACTTTCTTCCCATGTCTTCTATTTTTCTCTCAGATTTTCAGTTTTCTCTAGAAAAAAAATATAACGTCAGCTCACAACTAGTACCGAGAAAGAGTACTCTTACCTGCACAGAGAGGGAGCAGCCCATATGTGTAAACCCAGAAAATCAAAGCCTAAAATCCTAAACAAAAATTAAACATTAAAGAATGCAATAGAAAATGCAAAACATAATATCAAACTTTGAAAATATATTACTCACTCAAATAGATCTCAAACATTACCCTCTCAAATAGATCTCGATTTTTGAATTGTGATAGTGAAAGCGAAGAGAGAGAGAGAGAGAGAGAGAGAGAGAGAGAGAGAGAGAGAGAGCAGAGAGTGGTTGTGGGAATTTTAAGGTTTGGGTCTGGAAAAGAGATGAGGAGAGATGAGGAGGGAAGTGGTTTCGATTTGGGGATGAAAAGAGAGAAGAAGCGTTAATTTTTTTAGGATGAGGGAACGAGAGGGTTAGCGCGAAAGAATTTCCCCCAAAAAAAAGAGCGCCAGCGAAAAAAAAATGGGGAGAAGAAATCAATATCTATGACGCACATGCCATGTCATAGAAATCAATGTACAAGACTCTGCCACGTGTCAATATATTATATTTCATATTATTTCTCTATAATTTAATTTCTAAAATTCATAATAAATAAATTTAAAATCAGAAAAATATCCAGAAAATTCCTATGAACATCTTGTGATATTATCTTCTCTTTAAAGCTCCAAAATGCTAATTCTAAATTATAAAAATACAAATCAATAATAAAAACTCAACTTTGTTCATAGATAAATCAAAACATTCTATCACATACACTCTTGTTTCTTTGATTCCATGATTTCCATTAATTCAAATATGTAGAATCATGATTTTTGGTGTATTTTTCTTATTTGTATTTAATTTCTTATGAATTTGTTAAAGATCAAGACAATAAATAACAAAACAATGACATGTGTCGCTATCTGATAGGGCCACATTTCTGAAATGCTGACAAAGTGGCTTTAAGAAGCTGACATGTGAATGGCTAAGATGGAGCCGCAAGTAAAGGTTTGCAAAAAGAAGTTCCCACCTGAGCCTACGTGTTCGTGATATTCAAGGCCAACTTGGAGTTCATTGAGGCTTTTAACAAACACATGGGCCAGAACTACTTCACGCTAAGATTAAATGAATTTGCAGACCTAACCAATGAGGAGTTTCGGGAAATTCGTAATGGTTACATGAAACGATCCTCCAAATTGATCATGTCCAATTCCACGAAACGATCCTCCACTGATGTGCCACCTTCTGTGGATTGGAGAGAAAAGGGTGCAGTGACGCCTATCAAGGACCAAGGCAAATGTGGTAAGTGTTAAGCAAGTTGTTAAATGATGATGCATTCACTGTTTCGCAACATAACATGTTCTTGAATGATGAGGCATGTTATTTCAATTTTATAGGGTGTTGTTGGGTGTTCTCAGCAGTGGCAGCGACATAAGGGGTTAACCAGCTCAAAACCGGAAACTTAATCTCACTATCAGAGCAAGAGCTTGTGGATTGTGACAGTACAGGTCAAGATCATGGCTGTGAAGGTGGTCTAATGGATGACGCTACAAGCCCTACATGCTACAATATCAGTCCTATTTTTGGGTCAACTGTTCCTTATTCTCTTGATAGTACAATCGAGTTTACATCTTAGGATCCTATCGGGAATATTAAACGCTGAAATTAAAGGAAATAATCAATTCCCAATAAGCCTTTAAGATCGCCTAACCAGGATACAAGCCTCATATATATCTTAACAAATCTTTCTACTTCTTAAAGGTTATAGCATCCATCTCTCTCTCTCTCTCTCTCTCTCTCTCTCTCTCTCTCTCTCTCTCTCTCTCTCTCTATATATATATATATATATATATATATATATATATAGAAATTCTCTTATGCGGACATCCGGACGTTATTATCGTGCGGACGCAGTGTATTCTGTACTACCCCTCTTTGTTTTCCTGCCTGTTTACAATAGGATCCGCACGATAATAACGTGCGGACATCCGGATAAGAGAATAACTGTAAACTGTATATATATATATATATATATATATCCTCTCAGATAAGTCCAAATTATCATGATATTTACCCATCACATTATGATATTTGTCTTTAAAGAATTAATTAACATACATATCGCCGCGTAGAAAATTGATTTATGTCTTCAATATGTCTGCAGAGCATTATTAAACCCACCCTAAAATAAATCTATATTTTTATTCTTAGTGCAATGTGGAAAAGAGAATATTTCAACAGTATAGCCGAGCGGCTATACTCAATAAATAGAAAATTTCAATAGTCTAGCCGCGCGGCTATACTCTATAAATAGAAATTTTTTTAAAGTACAACCGCACGGCGATACTCTGTAAATAGAAATTTCAATATTATAGCCGCCCGGCTATACTAGTTAAATAGAATTTTTCCAACAGTATAGCCGTGCGCGGATATACAAGATTGCTTTTCTCATTCAACAAAGTAGTTTTTTATTGTTTTTTTTTTCGTAATGGAGCGGGTCGGGGAACCTGTTCCCCAATGAAGGCTGGTATGGGGAATCCCCAATTTGAATATTGCGAGTATGAAGGCTGGGATCGGGGAAAAATGCTTAATGGGGATGAGGATAGGAATGGCATACGCAACCCCGATTCGACCCATTACCATCCCTAGTTCATCGGTTCAAATGCCCACCCCCTACTATTATAAGATTAGCTTCATAGTTTGCCACTTAAGGACGATATTCATATACCATTTGCTTCATATATAGTTTGCTTCATACTCCTATAAGATTTGCTTCATAGTTTGCCAATTAAGGGTGCTAAAGAGCAATCTCAATTTGAGTGTCTCCTCATGAGTTATCTCATGCTTTAGGCTATAATGCAGCCAATATTCTCCATGGCGAATTGAAGACCGACATATTCTAAATATGGGCACCAATATACCGGTCGACTAGTTCTCCTAGCCAGTGGCAGTGGTTGCGGTTGATTTCCCCCATTATCACCTATTGGACAATCTTTGCCTTTTCCTTTTTTGGGTATTTCACCATTTTGGCCAACTATAATCTCCAGTACCTCGGCCATACTTAATTCCAGTCACCTTAAATGTAACCGAAAATACTTGGTCGAACTCATTCATTTTGGCCTGGCCTAGTTGACTCCCATTTATTTGTCTGCTATTCTTGATCTAGTCATTATCAATCACCATAACAAAGCTCCCCTTCTTGTTAGAGCATGTGCAACACGCAAGGCCTGCCATGGCAACAGGCCCCCTACCAGCCCAAAAACACCTCCAGTGCAAATCAGCCCGGGCAAGCCCACGGGCAAATCTTGACTGGGCTGCAGCCCGAAGGCGCTAACGTCGGCAAGGTAAAAAAATTGAAAAAAAAAATTGAAAAAAATTCTGGATTTTTTCCCTATAAATACATGACAATTTTATTCACTTTCCACACCAAATCTTCATGCAACTCTTCTCCTTCCAATATTTTTTACTCTCTACTCATATTTTTCTACTACTTTTCATTTGTATAAAAATAAATAAATAAATAAATAAATAAATCTTATATGAAATAAGACACGTGACAACTGAGAATCTCATCCGAAAATCTTATCTAAAATTTGATGGACACATGGCAACCGACAATGTTATCCGAAAATTTAATTCGAAAATGTTATCTGAATTTTTATGTGAGAATTTTATAATAAATAGTGACACGTGGAAACCGAAAATATTATCTGAAAAGCTTATCAAAATTAATGGTTTAAGTATAAAAAAAAAATAGAAAATAAGGTAAGGTGAATAGTGTTTGTTCTTGTCCTTGCCTTTGCCCTTTGGGATGGAACCAAAAAAGGCAAGGCTGATACTATTCACGTGAATAGTATCCGCCTTTACCTTGCCTTTGCCTTTTGGGGTGGAGGTGCTCTTAGTTTCAGTTTCACTTGTGCCTTTGATTATTTAGAACAAGGGTATACTAGTGATTTGCCCCCTAAACTTGTACCTAATTTTCAATTAGCCCCCTATCCTTTTTTTTTTTAGAAAATTAAGGAACTGAACAAATTTTTTTCGCCAATGTATAGTGACACGTGGAAATCGAAAATATTATCTGAAAAGCTTATCAAAATTAATGGTTTAAGTATTAAAAAAAAAATAGAAAATAAGGTAAGGTGAATAGTGTTTGTCCTTGCCCTTGCCCTTGCCCTTTGGGATGGAAACAAAATAGGCAAGGCTGACACTATTCACATGAATAGTATCCGCCCTTACCTTGCCTTTGCCTTGCCCTTGCCTTTTGGGGTGGAGGTGCTCTTAGTTTCAGTTTCACTTGTGCCTTTGATTATTTAGAACAAGGGTATACTAGTGATTTGCCCCCTAAACTTGTACCTAATTTTCAATTAGCCCCCTATCCTCTTTTTTTAGAAAATTAAGGAACCGAACAAATTTTTTTCGCCAATGTATCCCCCAACGTCAAAATCTAGCACATTCCATCCATTCTGCCGTGAAGTTGGAGGTTAATTTGTCATTTCGCGTCTCCACTGAACTGAACCCATGCTTCACCTATTAGTTCCTACATTTTGGCTCTATTTTTCCCCCAAAGAATTTCCCTCCATTTTCCCAACCTCCATTTTCGTACCCTAAACCAGAAGGGGATCTAGGGCTTAGGAGAAAACCCAAAATATTAGGAGATGAGGAGGTTCTTACCTGGCAGAGGTCATGGAGGTCATCGGTCACAGAGGTGGAATGCAGAAGGTGAAGAGGGTAGTTCATGGATGGTGCCTTTAGTCGTATGCCACTGTGGTAAGACTGCGAAAGTCCAAACATCTTAGACTGCTGTACATCCAGGGAGGAGATTTTACATCTGTGGGAGGGTAAGTTTATAATTGAAATTTGGTTTGCAGATTTGAAATTTGGGTTGCTGAGTAGAAATTTGGACTGATGCACTTTTTTTCTTCTATTTTTTATGTATCAATTTGTTGGGAGAAATGTGCAGAATAGATGTAGATATTGGGAATGGGGTGACCCACAAATGTGTGAGAGGTCGAAGCAAATTATACCTGGGCTGCTACGGAAAATAAACATAATGGAAGATGCAAAAAAGTCTCGGCCAGAGAAGCTGAAAAAAAAAACCCTTGGTTTGGGATGTCTTGTTTGTTGTTTGTGATAGTTTTGTGGTTAATGTATGGGAAAGGCAAAGAAAATGAAGGATATTTGCCAGAGAAGCCTATGTAATCTGTCCTATAAATAAAGGGGAGAGGGAAAGGCAAAGACAATGTGACATGCCGTGTATCAGTTGTGTTGCAGAGGTGTAATACATGGACTTTTGGTCTTTTTGTTGAATGTAATGGCATGTATGAGTTGTGTTTTGACAATTTTGTTTCCAATTGGCAAAAAGGTCATATAAGCAAGCAAGCAAACATAAGTGTTGCAACACTATTAAACCAAAACATATCCATTACAAAACATCTGTTCCAACATGAATCCAAGCAACACATGTGTTCTAACTGTAATCCAACCAAAACATTTGTGTTCCAATACTAATCCATTGAAATCAGTCTGAGAATCCTAGGATCATATCAACTAGAAATTCATCAAAGTAAAATGTTCCAAAACATATCCATTACATAAGCAGTCCTAATGTTTTGGTGTTCCAAAAAACTAAAATCAGCAAATCTCAACTACATTCTCCGTGGCCTTGGTCTTTTCGGTAGAGGTACATTTTCTGAGTTTGGTTGAGAAGCATGCCCAATTTGAATTTCTTGTAAGGTAGAACCAGTTTGAGCAAGCTGCCTTGTTAGTTCAGACATTTGCCCCCCTCTTCTCGCCTAATTGAATGACAAAAATCAGCAAATCAGTCCAAATTTGGTTTAAACATTGAATGTAAGTATTGAAAGCAAATCAGTACATATGGTATTACCTCAAGCTTTGTTCTTCTAAAAGGTCTATCTTGGATTGAAGTCTCAGCTTGATCTGGTTGTCTGACAGGAACACTTGGCATACTTGTTCCCCTTCCCCTGCCTCGAACTCTTATTACCCTTCCCCTGCCTCTAGCTTGTTCCTTGAACAAAAAATTAAAAAAAATTTTATAACAAATAAAGGACCAACTTGCACCTTCAACAAAGTTCATATCAACAGAAATAATCACAAACTTCAGCTCCACAAGTTGCAGAATTGTGACCTTCACCTCCACAAGTTTTACAACAAATGAAAATCTCATATCTCTTCAGCTTTGTTGCATTTTTTGGTATCTCATCGGGTTCCTTTTGCCTACTTGTTCTAGGCCTTCTCGGTTGTTTGTGGTAAAGAGGTGGCTTGATGGGTCTATGACCCGTTTTCCTCCAGTATTCTTGTGGAGATATATAACTCTCATAAGCCCTGTCATATGCACCTCTTTTGTAAAGTGAATGTAGAAAGTCATAAGGGCTCTTCTTTGTTTTGGCAATTGCAACCATAGAATGTGAACAAGGGATTCCACATAAGTCCCACTTTCTGCAAGTGCAGGTGTGCCTCTCCAAATTCACTACATACATTCCACCATGGATGTTATTAACTTGATATTTTCCCCCACCAGCATATGACGCTATGCATTGAGCACTCTCAGTTGTTAGCTTTTCAACAATTCCAAAAATCCTAGGACCAACATCATGTGTCTAAACAGTTTCTCTAAGT